AGATTGGCCTCTCCAAGGGAAGTCACCAAAGATGCCATGAACTTGGGGGAGGGGGGAAGAACAGGGCTCCATTCTGGGTGGGCCCAGCCCTGTCCTGGGGAGTCTTCTGTGGTAGGGAGGCCATGCCCTGTCCTGGGAAAACATTTGGAGGGTAAGACACATGTCAGAGTCTCCCTGGCTAGGAAGAGTTGTTTTTAGATTTCCAGAGAAGGCAATGAAAGTTATTTCTTTGCCAACCCACTCCCCCATCTCCAGCCCTGAGATTGAGGCCCCGTACACCAGCGAAGAGGAGCAGGAGCGGCTGCTGGGCCTCTACCAATACCTGCACAGCCGGGCCCACAATGCCTCCCGCCCACTCAAGACCATCTACTACACGGGCCCCAATGAGAACCTCCTGGCCTGGGTAAGGCAGCCCTGGGATGGGCTCAGCTTCATCGGGATCCCGGGCAGGGGCCACACGAGATGTCTAACCTCGATGACTACTCTGTGCCCCCTCCTCCAGGTGACAGGTGCCTTTGAGCTCTACATGTGCTACAGCCCCCTGGGGACCAAGGCATCTGCTGTCAGTGCCATCCATAAGCTGATGCGCTGGATCCGCAAAGAAGAAGATCGCCTCTTCATCCTCACACCGCTCACCTACTGATGGGAATGTGTGTGGGTTCAGCCCTCTTAGGCACCCTGGGCAACGGAAGCTATGGGAGCCTCCACATGGGCTGGCCTCTCTTGCCCAGGCAGCAAGCAGGCAGGGACTGTGGGTTGGTGCGTGCATTAAAGTACTCTGGAGAAGACACTCATTGGGCCTTGTCACTGGTCCCTTCACTCATGCATTCTCACTCCTACAGACACTGGATCCTCCTCCTTAGTCCTTACCTGTGTTTCCCCATGTCCTGGAGCACAAGCACTCAGAATCGAACCTTGGGCTGGGTCTCTTCATTCAGCTAAAGTCTTGCCATACATAAAATGTTCTCTAGCATTCCACTGGCCTTGCCCCCCACGGCCCCACCCCAATACTCAGTCTGAGTCCCTGGTGCCTCCTAGAAGGGCACAGCCCCTCTCTTTCACTCCTAGGAGGGGCCCCCAGCTTTGTGCCCCAAAGGACCACTCATATACCCTGGGAGCTGTGGCTCTGCTTAAAGGGCTGCTGTAGCTCAGCAGTGACAAGGCTGAGTAAGAGAAGGACAGCCAACTAGGGAGAGTCTGAGGCTTGGTACAGGTGGGTAAGATCCCTTGGTGAGGTGGTCTGGTTTTCAGCACAGAAAAATTCAGAGACCAGCCTCAGTGTATGTAGCCCTAGACCTCTGGGGAAATTGTCCCAGCTTGGTCTTCCTCATGAAGGGCTATCCACCTCGGCATCTGTGCTTTTGGCCAGTACATTCCTCAGAACGTCCCCAGGAGTGAGCTGGAAGGCCTGCAGGAAGAGCCAGCTGACTTCTGGGGCAGGGGTGGACCCTGCCCTAGGAAGGGCAGATGCTGCTAGGCACACCGGGCCCTCTTCCGCCACCCTGGCATTTTCCAGCCCACAGGGGTCACTGTGGACATCTCAAGAGGCTCAGCAGTGAAGGCCCAGACCCCTCCACTCTGTCCTGAGACCCTCTTTGGACAGAGCCCAAGGCATAGTACAGAAAGCCTCTATCTTGCTGCTGGGGGGCTTTCCCAGTTCTGCCACAGCTTAACCATCTCATTGGCTAGGAGAGCAAAAGACCTAGGAAATGTTTATGGGAGAAAAGTGTCCACTGAATGTGGTCTTCAGACTGTAGAGTAAATCACCCTTATGCAGTCTCTGAGAGCTGGGCTAAGATACTCTGCCACTAAAACCAACCCATGTTGGAAAATATATTTGGTGGGTAGCATAGGGTACACTGGAATGGTTCTACTTACTGTCCCAGGAAATGGGATAGCCCCTGCCCTTGGCCCTATCCTGGATCATATTAGAATGGATATGGCAGCAAACCACCTGCCTAGACCCCAAGGCGTGTGGGGAACAGCCACAGGCTTGGCGGTGCTGCTCGCCCTGCACATGTGCCCTGGGTCTCTTTTCTGCCTGTTCCTGCTGCTGTTTCTCCCCTTGATCCTGGCCAGTGCACCAAATCACTACCTCTGGGGCCAGGGTGATGCCAGGCCAGCAGTCCATGGCTGCTATTGGCATTCCTCTGGTCAGTGGTCAGCCCCTAGATACTCCTGTTGGCTACTGTGATTCTTGTAGGACTCTCAGCACCTCTGCAGTTTAGCACCTATTCTGGGTAGGTGTGGAAATGGGTGGTCACAATTAGGTGAGTGTGTGTACCTAGGACAGTAGGCACCTGGAGTGTGGGCTTATCTGTCTGGGGATCAAGGAAGGAATAACAGGCCAAACAGGGAAGGTGTTCCTAGTGGAGGAACCAGCATGTGCAAAGCGAAGGACCTGGTAAAGAGCCTGGTATTACTGGTTTAAGTGAAGCTGGAGGAGTTTTCAAGGCCTAGGTTTCTTGAACTCCAGGTAAAAGTCTGGCAGTGGGGAGCCATTGAATTTGTTTTAAAGCTGCAGAGTGATATGGTCATATTGTAGTTAGAGACTGCTGCCACTCAGATGATCTCTTTGGGTTGGAGAAAAAGGCTGGCATTAGTTCTCGTTTTTGTTTTTGTTTTGGAGTAGTGTTCAGAGGGATGTGAGAGCCAAAAAGGGAAAAGAGGGCACTCCTTCAAGGTGATAGATACTGGGGCAGTTGGGCAGGTCCTAAACCAAATATAGGCCAGGCCTTGTGAGTTCAGCTTGGAGGGAGCACTTATACTTAACACTCCAAGGCCCCACTTCCCCCACATGGTTTGCCTGCCCTGCTCCTGCAGAGTGGGCAGAGGGGGAAGGAGGAAGGGGTGCTCCCGTGGATGCCGGTTCTCAAGGACCGGGGTTGTCCACCAGGGGACGCTGTTCTGGGGCTAGCCAACATCTTGGCCACATGGTGGCAGCAGAGAATCAACTGCTGACTGCTGCACCCCAATCCTCAAAACGAGTGGACAGGGTGATCAAGGAGGGCCCTTGAAGTCTCCTCCCAACCTACAGAAGTCTCTCCGAAGGTAGTACCGGGACCCAAGAAACTGTCTCAGCGCCAGCGGAGAATGTTTCATTTCAATTTTACCCAGCATGAGTGTCTTGAATCATGTTGACTGTGGAACACATGATTTTTTTTATGGGTATTTATTCATTTCCGGGCCAATTCTAGTTAGAGAAGGGAGTGCCATTTATGATGCCTGAGGCTCTGAATCCTCCCAGCACTGGGTGTGGCTGCCCAATCCTGTTTCCTCTCTCTCCCAGGTGCTCACTGAGCTCCAGCCCCAAGGGGGAGGGGAGTTCAGCACTAGGAATGGGGAAAGTGGGGAGTCAGGTATTCAGAGTCAGCTGTGCTAGAGTGGGTATAGCATATGATCTGTGGGACCCACAAAATGGACCAGGCATTGACTGGATCAGGAGGGCTTCCTGGAGGTGGTGCCATCTAAGCTGCAAGAGAAGGAAAGGAAAAAGGTGCTCCTGGAAGGAGGAACAAGGAATATTGTCTGGATAGGGGAGTAGAGGAGATACAGCTCCAAAAATCAGGCTGAATGAATCCTGCTGGGCTGAAAACTCTTCTCTCCCCCACCCCTCTTATGCTCCAAAGCCCTGGGACCCACAGTTCACAGGTCCCTCAGACCTCAGTGTAGGGCCACCCTATGAAGCTTCCCCTCCCTCCAGGGTTAAGGCCCACCTGGCTAAGGGGGCTGTCAGGCTGACATGGTCCCCCAGAGCCCCCTTTAAATGTTAGGAAGAACCAGTTACCAAGGAGCAACCGCTGAAGTCCATGTACAAGAGGCAAGGTTGCCTCTCCTTCCCCCAACCCCATATGCCTCACTCAGACTGAAGAGAGAACTGTGGGCAGTCACCTAGTTAGAACTATATCCTCATTTCAGGGATGGAGAGACTCAGGCCCAGCATAGCTTACAGAGCAGGTTAGAGGTGCCCTGTCAAAGCCCATGTTTCCCCCATATCAGGGGGGCACTGCAGCACAGCCAGCAAAGGCAGCCAGCACTGTGTGTTTTGTTAGCCCCATCCTGCAGCTTCTGCCTACTGAGGCAGTGGTGGAGGGACCATAGCTAGGGTTGGGCCTCCCCATAAGCTGCCTCTCCTCTGACTCTAATGTCCAGCCAGCAGGGTAGGTCCTAACTCATAACCTCTACCGCCTTGGGCAGGCAGGGGACAACGCATCTTCCTGTGATACCATCCAGTCATTGACATCCCAGGGCAGGCCCAGAAAAGGATGGCCCCTGCCCTGAGAGGGTTTCACTACTCCCGGGGGCCCCCACCTCTCCCCTCCGGTCCTCCACACATTCTTGGTCTCTCAGGGGCCTCCAGGCCCTGTTCTGGAACCAGCGTCTGAGTGTGTTGGCTGTATACTGGTGCCAAGGGCAAAAATAAGCCAGGTGGTCCTCAAACCCTCACTGGTGCTGGGGTGACTTCCGACCCCTCCTCACTTCAGCCCAGTCGGTCGTGAGCGGCGGGAAGGGAAGGCTCAGACTTTCCTACCTCTCTCTGGGCTACTCCAGGCACACTCACCACATGCCACTGAGAAAAACGCCCCCAAGAGAAGGTGTAGGTAACAGGCTTTCGAAGGCCTGGAGAGTCGGGTGGGAGGAGGGGCTGGCTAGGCCGAGCCTTCAACGGGCCCCGCCCACAGTTCCGCCCACGCACCCTGGCCCCGCCAGCCCCGCCCTGCGCCCTCCTGCCGACTTTGCTCAGAGTGCCTGCTTGGAGCAGCAGCTGGGGCAGGCAGGTGAGGGGACCTCTTCGTTCACTGGCGGTGTGTATGTCCACCTGGTGCCAGGTGCTCAGACCCGAGGGCAGGGGAGGGCGCTGGACATCACGCTGGGGGTGGGTCAGCTGCCCGAGGGCTTTCAGGACCGGCTGCGGACTCAGGTCCCAACCGGGACCTTGAGTCTGCTCCCAGCCAGGCCCAGGCCTCCAAGAGTCCCTGCAGGGGCCCAGGTGGGCCTCGATGGAGCTTCTCTCGCCGCCGTCACAGCCTTCACTGTTATTGCTGCTGCTACTGCTGCCACCACTGCTGGCCAGAGAGTCCTGGCAGTGTCCGCGCACCCCCTATGCCGCCTTGCGCGACTTTGATGTCGAGTACAAGGTGCCCAGCTTCTCGGCCGGAGGTCCGGTACAGGCCATAGCGACCTACGAGGGCGGCAGGGACGGGAGTGCCGTGTTCGTGGCTACACGCAATCGCCTGCACGTGCTTGGGCCTGGCCTGCAGCCAGTAGAGAGCCTGGCCACAGGTCCTGTTGGAGACCCGGGCTGTCAGACGTGTGCGGCCTGTGGCCCGGGCCCCCACAGCCCGCAGGGAGACACAGATGCACGGGTGCTGGTGCTGGAGCCAGCTCTGCCCGCACTAGTCAGCTGTGGCTCGAGCCTGCATGGGCGCTGCTTCCTGCACGAGCTAGAGCCCCAAGGGACAGCCCTGCACCTGGCACCGCCAGCCTGCCTCTTCTCCGCCAACCACAACCAGCCCGAGGACTGCCCTGACTGTGTGGCCAGTCCTCTGGGCACCCTCGTGACCGTGGTTGAGCAGGGCCATGCCTCCTACTTCTACGTGGCATCCTCACTGGATGAGACGGTGGCCTCGAGCTTCAGCCCCCGCTCAGTGTCCATCCGGCGCCTCAAGGCCGATGCCTCAGGATTCGCACCGGGGTTTGCCGCGCTGTCCGTGCTGCCGGAGCACCTCGCTTCCTATCCTATCCAGTACGTGTACAGTTTCCGCTCCAGAGCCTTTGTCTATTTCCTGAAGGTGCAGCGGCCCAGCGTGGCAGCTGCCCCGGAAGCCTTGCACACACGCCTGGCACGGCTCAGCGCTGCTGAGCCCGAGCTGGGCGACTACCGCGAACTCGTTCTCGACTGCCGATTCGCACCCAAACGCCGGCGCCGCGGGGCCACTGAGGGAGGACAGCCCTACCCAGTGCTGAGGGCGGCCCATGCAGCTCCAGTGGGCAGCAAGCTAGCTGCTGAGCTGAGCATCGCTGAAGGCCAAGAAGTGCTATTTGGCGTCTTCGTGGCTAGCAGAGACAGCAGTCCCGGTGTGAATCCCAACTCTGTCGTCTGTGCCTTTCCCATCGACCTAGTGGACACTCTCATCGAGCATGGTGTGGAGCGCTGTTGTGAGCCTCCTGTCCCCCCTGGCATCCGGCGAGGCCTCGACTTCTTCCAGTCGCCTAGTTTTTGCCCCAACCCGGTGAGCAGAAAGAAGGGGCCCTCAACTGTGAGCAGGTGGTAGAATCCAGTAAGAGGGTCTGGGAGGGAGGGAGAAGGGCAGGAAGGAAGACGTTTTCTCTTCCACCCAGTTCCTTAGTGCTGGGGGCAGGTGGGGGTGTGGAGGGCGTGAGGGAATCAGCCAAGCACAGGCTATACTGGAGGCTCACCTACTAGCCAGACTAGTCTCTGTTTCTCCTCCATTTTGCTCTTTCACTCTCTTAGGTACTATGGCCTCTGATTTTTTTAGGTAGTTTCCTAGATTGTGTGAGAAGCAGATTGCATCACAACTATCTGGCAGAGACACTGCCTAACTCCGGTACAATGATCCCCTCCTACCTGCCCACCACACATACCCTCAAGGACATACACAGAGAAACAGCCCCCCACACAAGCAGATGCTAACAGATTCACACAGATACGGCTGCTCACCAGCACAGTTTCTCTTTCCCTTTGGAAGCACTGTTTTGTTCCGCTTTCCAAAGAGGGTGGGGCAGGAGTTGTCAGAGGATGCCCCCACCCCATTCCAGGGAGCCTCCTGGGCCTTGGAAGTTTGGGGGCTTGTCAGAGAGCCTGCATGGCTTGGGCTTCACAGACACACTCGTCCCTGATTGTTCTCTGTGGAGTGACTGGGGGAGGACCAAGGACATGGTGGGAAGGCAACTTGGCTCTAGTAGATTCCAGGAAGCTCACCCCAGTCTTGTGCAAACAACTGTAAACATCTGGGGATGAGTAAAGGCTTAGGAGGGGCTGGTTGGAAGTGGTTCACCATGAAGGAGTCCCAGACTTTCTTTCACTATAGTTGGGGCCCTGCTCTAGTTCCCCATCTCACCCCAAGTAAGAGGTCTCCCGGCCATCGCTGAATTGGGGGCTTTTCCCAGCAGACCCTACCCAGGTTCTCTCCAGCCATGGTGTCAGGGAGCTGGAACAGAGACAAACAGGACATTCCTTAAAATGCTAAGGACAAAACCCAAACTGAGAGCCATGGAAACAGTCCTACCCTAGCTTGTAAGAGGTAAAACCAAGACAATGGGGTGAACAGCACTGGATAAGTGGTCTTTCAGTGAGCTCACTCACAGTCACTGCTCTGAGTCTTTGGCTGCCCTGTGGCTCTGCTACTTCTGTGACGTTCCCCACTGACTCCTTTCTGGCTCTTACTAATGCCTCAGAGGTGGAAGGAGAATGTACGAACAGCGAAGAGTAGGGCATCTCCAGCCTCCCTCCCTCAGCTGAGTCCATCTGGGTTGAGGAGGCCCAAGGGGGGGAGAGCCCTCGTCAGGGCCTGGGCAGCCCTGCCTGCCCTCCTCTCTTCCTTCTGGGGGAGTCTGAACCTCTCACGGACTTGGCTGGTGGTCAGTGGGTCAGAAGACATCCAGCATGAGTTGGCAGTGCTAGGTTCGAGGAGGACTGATCTCAAGATGGCCCACAAGCTGGCCAGGGAGGTGTGTGAACCAGCCTGTACAGTGTTTGTCCAGTGACTGGGCATGTAGCCTCCAGGGCAACACCCACTGTGTGCTGATTGTGGCTGGCCTCAGGAAGCCTGTGGGACTCTGAGCTGGCACCTGCCTTCCATGGGTTCAGGTGGGATTTGACTCTGGAGCAGTCACCCTCCTTTGTGGGGCACTGGACACTTGAGTCATGCTCTTAGGAGCCACAGGCTGGCTTATAGACAAACCTGAAAACCCAGAGCTAAGTCCTAGGACCCAGGGGCAAGCAGACAGGGGTGTGGTCCTGATCAGGGTAGGGCCTCTTTGCCACCCCTCAGCCCCACCTGTTCCTGAGTCATGCTAAAAACACCCGCTGGCTTCCGGCTAAGGTCAGGCCCCTTTCCTGCCTCAAGTGAGGACAGAGTCCCAGTTCCCACCCATCCAGGCTACAGACCTAGAGTGTGTGGAATTTCTGTGCCCAGCTCTGCACCCCCAGGGCTCCTGATCAGCACTGAGGTCTCAGGACTAGGTTAAGCATACTTGGTTTGATGGGAGCCCCAGGGCTGGCAAGGGAATGTGGCAAGCCCCAAGGCTACTGAGCCCTGCCTGTGCTTTGCACCCAGCTCCAATGCCTTGCATCATACCCTGATATGATTTCCCAGAAGCTTCCACAGTCCTGCCTTGGTGCCTTGAGTGCAGTCCCCCAAAACACCTTCCTATTAAGAACAGGTGACAGGTGTTTCCCAATCCCTGGGGCCTAGCCTTCAGGCCTTGGTTTTTCCCTTTTGTATCTGAAGGGGATTCAGGTTGCAGCTGGAGGTACAGGAAGATCTTTGGAGTCTCAGGGAGAAGAACCATGTTACCAGCCCCATGCTGGCCAGTTAACTTCAGAGTTTAGCCACCTTAGGCTGGAGAGAAACTGAAGCCCCCAAAGGGGACAGGGTTTGCTGAAGTACAGGGAATAACCAGCAGGGGGCAGAAGAGGACTCTGCTCAAGAGCTCAGACTTCTTGCCTGGCTCCTCTCCTGAGGGCCTGTAAGGCCTTGGACAAGTGACCAAACGGTTTCTGAGCTCATTTCCTTATCTGCAAAATAGGGGTGTTGAAAGCACCCACTTTACACAGTGGTTGTGAGGCAAGAATGAGGTTGGGTCTGTGAGACTCTAAGTCATTATCAGAATGGACATGGCAGGTCAGGGCAAGGCATAGCAGATGCTGGCCTTCCAGCCTGGGCCTTCCTTCCTGGACTTACTACCTCTGAGAGCCCCATAGGTGGGAGGGGGTGGGTAAGTGGCAGACCTGGAGTCTTATCTAGCCAAGTCAGGTAAGGGATGGGGGTTTGGGCTGCTGTGGTCACTGACAGAGATCCCAAGGGGTCAATGTGTGAGGATGAGCCCTGACTCCTTACCCGACTCTCCTCAGCCTGGCCTGGAGGCCCCCAGCCCCAACACCAGCTGCCATCACTTTCCTCTGCTGGTTAGCAGCAGCCTATCACGTGTGGACCTCTTCAACGGGCTATTAGGACCAGTACAGGTCACTGCACTGCATGTGACACGCCTTGACAATGTCACAGTGGCCCACATGGGCACAACTGATGGGCGCATCCTGCAGGTAGGACCCCCATCTCCACAGCTCCTTCTTCCTGGGTCCCCTTCCCCATTTCCATTTTGCTCACAGCTAACCTATCCCAGGTGGAGCTGGCCAGATCTCTCAACTACTTGCTGTATGTGTCCAACTTCTCACTGGGTGGCAACAGGCAGCCCATACAACGAGATGTCAGTCGCCTTGGAGACCACCTGTTCTTTTCCTCCGGGGAGCAGGTAAGGTGGGACTAGGGTAGGGCCTGGGGCCAGGGCCGTGGAAACAAAGCCTCCCCATCTAATCCAGGGAGGCACTGACATACAGGTCTCACCACCCTGACCTACAATGGGACCAGGCAGTCTCTGGGTCTAGTTCTCCCTCCAGCCACCCCTGAACCACCCCTCTGCCACTCCAAGGTCTTCCAGGTACCTATCCAGGGCCCTGGCTGCCACCACTTCCTCACCTGTGGGAGTTGTCTGCGGGCACAGCGTTTCATGGGCTGTGGCTGGTGTGGGGGCATGTGTGGCCGGCAGAAGGAGTGTCCTGGCTCCTGGCAACAGGATCATTGTCCACCTGAGCTTACTGAGGTATGACTTGCTTGGCAGGGCCCAGGTAAGGGTGGGACAAGCTGGGCCTGGAGTGGGGGTCAGCATGTGTTAACCATGATCCTCAGGCCTGGAATGTCCCCAATATCAACAAGGAGGGTATTCTTGTCAGAGGGGATGGCACATGCAAAGACTTAGAGGCAGAAAAGTGCCTGACTGAGGACTACAAGTGACCTAGGAGACTTGGAGGGAGGGCAGGCAAGGGGCATAGCAGAAAACTCTGGGAAAAGCAGACAGCTGAGAGCCCGGATGCACACAGGGACTCAGGCTCTCTCCCTCTCTTCAGTTCTACCCCCAGACTGGACCCCTAAGGGGCAGCACAAGGCTGACCCTGTGTGGCTCCAACTTCTACCTGCGCCCTGCTGATCTGGTGCCTGAGGGCACCCATCAGGTCACCGTGGGTGAAAGTCCCTGCCGACTGCTGCCCAAGGACAGCCCAAACCTCAGGTACAAGCTGGTCTCTGCGCTTCCTGTCCCTGACAGGGGTGACCAAGCAGCCCCTTCCCTGTGAGACCCTGTCTTCTGCTTACTGGGGGCAAGGAGATATCAGGCAAACTGCAGTGACTCTGGTTGCTTGGTGTCTAAGGAGACCTCTCTGTCCCTGCTTGAGCCTGCATATGCCCTACCTGCCTGTTGAGTCATGGAACTGGGCAAGGTTAGTCCCTGCCTCACCAGATCCTGCTTACCTTGGAGGAAGGCACGAGTAAAGAGATACCATCCTCAGGCTCAGAGGAGACCTGTGGTATGTAGCAGGCATACAGCCAGGCCTGTGTGACCCCTGGCTGACCTTGGGTTCCCCTGGTACCCTAGCCCAGTGCCCCGGAAAGACTTTGTAGAGGAGCTTGAGTGTGAGCTGGAGCCCTTGGGCATGCAGCCAGCCGGGCCCGCCAACATCAGCCTCACTGTGACCAACATGCCACCAGGCAAGCACTTCCAAGTGGATGGCACCTCCATGCTGCAAGGCTTCTCTTTCATGGTGAGGCCACCTTGCCTTGTCTGTACCCTTGGCCAGCCAGGCAATGTGGGCAAGGAAGGGCTTGGAGTGGAAGGCCTTTTATGCCAAGCTAAGCCACCTCTATGTCTTCTTAGGAGCCAGTGCTGACAGCAGTAAAACCCCTCTTTGGCCCACGGGCAGGGGGCACCCGCCTCACCTTTGAAGGCCAAGGCCTGTCTTTAGGCACCAGTCAGATGGTGCTGGTCAATGGGACTGAGTGCCCACTGGAACAGTAAGTGCCATCATGCAAGGGGAGGGGAGGCCACAGGGCTCCCCACTCAGGGAGCCCTTACCAGGTGGGCCTTGGATCCTACCAGGGCAGAGAGAGCAGAGCTCAAATGGTCAGTGTAGGGAGCAGGTCCAGGAGGAAGGGTCTGTTGCCCCCTCCAGCCCACGGGTGGTTTGGGGATGGTGAGAGAGCCCATCACAGAGTTAACTGGCTCTAGCCAAGGCTTTGGGGAACCTTTTCTGCCCTGCCTTCTTCTTGGAAGCCTTAAAGACCCTGTCTTCAAACAGACTCATTGATAATGGGCAGGGTGGGAAGATGACCAACAGAAGAACTGAGAGGGATTGGCAGACCTTAAAGGAGGTGGGTCTGGCCATCACCTGGAGGGTGATCCTGAGACCAATCCTCCCACCCCTACCCCCACCCCGTTCTGCAGGGTCAGCGAGGGGCAGCTCTTATGTACTACGCCCCCTGGGGCTGCTATGGCCAGGGTTCCCATTCACCTGCAGGTGGGGGGCGCTGTGGTGCCAGGCTCCTGGACCTTCCACTACCTGGAAGACCCCATTGTGCTGGGCATCAGCCCCAACTGTGGCTACATGTAAGTGCCACCCCCTTGCCCACTCTGGTCTCCTAAGGAATGAGGGAGGCAGCCTCAGAGAGCACCCCAAGCCCACCACATTGCTTTCCTCCACAGTGGCTCCCATGTCACCATCCATGGCCAACATCTGACTTCAGCGTGGCACCTAGTGCTGTCATTCCATGATGGGCTTATGGCAGTGGAAAACAGGGTGAGCTGTCACTGGCAGCTGCCAAATGGACACTAGCCAGGAGGGAGGAAGGCTGGATCAATCCTCTGAGTTCTAGCTCTACCCCGTGCTGGGCTGAGGAGACTGGGGTGGCCGTAGGTGGGATGCCTAGCTAACCACTCTCGCATGGGCCCTAGCAGTGTACAGGGCACCTCCCGGAGCAGCATCGGTGCCGCCTGCCCGAATATGTCGTCCGAAGCCCCCAGGGGTGGGTAACAGGGAACCTGAGTGCCTGGGGGGATGGAGCTGCTGGCTTCACGCAGCCCGGCTTTCGCTTCCTGCCCCCACCCCATCCACCCTCCACTGACTTTGCCCCACTGAAGCCCGAGGAGCACGCTGTTAAGTTTGAGGTAAGTGTGGGGGATGGAGGTCAGGGATGGTGAAGGGTTAGGGCTGAAGCCTTGCCCAGAGGAGATGGGGGCACTGGCCAGTCCTTATGACTCTCTGCAGTATATTGGGCTGGGCGCTGTGGCTGATTGTGTGGACGTGAACGTGACCGTGGGTGGTAAGAGCTGCCAGCATGAGCTCCGGGGGGATGTGGTCATCTGCCCTCTGCCTTCCTCCCTGCAACTTGACAAGGATGGAGCCCCACTGCAGGTAGGCAGCTCAGCTGGCTCTCCACATGAGACATGGGCCAGGGCTTGCAGGCTGGGCCTGAGCTGCCACCTGCCCCCAGGTCTGTGTGGATGATGGATGTCACATCCTGGGCAGGGTGATACGGCCAGGCCCAGAGGGGGTCCCACAGAGGCTACTCCTTGGTGTCCTGCTGGCCCTGCTCCTGCTTGTGGCTGCACTGGCCGCTGCGCTGATCTTCAACTACTGGCGGAGGAAACAACTGGGTGAGCTCTCCACTCCCCTCCTGACTTGGCCTATACCAAACCATGGCATCTCCAAGTCCTCTTTCTGCCCAGGCCTTGGAGGTCTGCCCATACCTCCTGGGGACTGAGTTTGGAGAGGCTGGCCACCAGGGGCTGTCTTTCCACAGTCCTTTCTCCAAACCTAGATGACCTGGCATCCTTGGACCGGACCACTGGAGCCATCCCCTTGCCTGCACTCCGCTCAGGTTCTGACTACAGAAATGGCCTTGGTGAGACGGGGGAGGTGCTGAAAGCTGGGGCCACACCCTCTGTTCCACAGGCCCCTCACTTCCTCTCCTCCACAGCAGCCCCTGCCACTCATGGTCTGGATTCCACCACACAGAGCCACAAAGCATCCGTCTCAGACAGTGGGGACGGGTCCTGTGTCCCACTGTTGCAGACAGAGTCCATCCAGCTTGGGGACTTAGACTCTGCACTCCTGACCGAGGTGAAGGATGTGCTGATCTCACATGAGCAGGTGGTCACCCACAGGGACAGAATCATTGGCAAAGGTATGGGGGCCAAGCCAGGTGGGGCTGGGGCAGAGATGGAGTCCTGAGATGACATGGACTCAAGGGGCATTTGGGCAGGACTCTGCTCTGGCCTTTCCACCAACCTTTGTGACCTCGGGAATACCACGTAACCTCTCTGAGCCTCCATTTGCTCATCTGTGAAATAGTAATTAGTTCTGTCTTCAGTGGATTCTGGTGCAGATTAAGTAGGCCTGGGAGGGGTGCAGGCTCTGTCATTATGTAGCTGCTATTTGTTTTTAATATCACATCGGCCAGTTGGTGCTCTGAGGTTTGGTTGCCAATGAGAGGGTGTGGTGTGCACCCTGAGCATTGGGGCCCTCTCACCATCTCCCCCTCACCAGGCCACTTTGGAGTTGTCTACCATGGAGAATACACAGACAAGGACCAGAATCGAATCCATTGTGCCATAAAGTCGCTGAGTCGTAAGTAGGGAAGAGGCTAGGAAGATCCCCGTCCCTGCTGTGCTACCACCTTGCTGAGTAACCCTGAATAGGAGAACTTTCTTCTCCATTTCTCCATCTGACCCTGGCAAAGGGTCTTCCTGCCCTGAGTCTGACTCAAGCCACTCCACAGGCATCACAGAGGTGCAGGAGGTGGAGGCCTTCTTGCGCGAGGGGCTGCTCATGCGTGGTCTGCACCACCCAAATGTGCTGGCTCTCATCGGTATTGTGCTGCCCCCTGAAGGGCTGCCCCAGGTGCTGCTACCCTATATGCATCATGGAGACCTGCTTCAGTTCATCCGCTCACCCCAGCGGGTCAGTGCTCGGGTCAGGAGACTTGGGCAGCAGCTGGGGATGAGTTGCTATGCCCTTGCCTACTGACCCACCTGTGCCCCTAGAACCCCACGGTGAAGGACCTCATCAGCTTCGGCCTTCAGGTAGCCCGTGGCATGGAGTACCTGGCAGAGCAGAAGTTTGTGCACAGAGACCTGGCTGCTCGGAACTGCATGTGAGGGGCCGGAGCATTTGGGGTGAAGGAAGGGGGCAGGGCACCAGGGTGCACAGCTGCCCAAAGGCATCTCAGGGAAGGGCCCACGCTCCAGCCCTTGCTGTGCAGCCCTGGGCATGTCCTCCCCTCTCTGGGCCTCAGTTCTCCTATCTGCCCAGTGCAGGCTTAGATTGGACACGGTGGCTCTGAAACCCTGTGAAGGCCTGGAGTAAATGGGTTTAGGGCCAGGTGGGGGCCAGTCCTGAGTATGATCCCCTGCTCTCAGGCTGGATGAGTCATTCACAGTCAAGGTGGCTGACTTTGGCCTGGCCCGTGGTATCCTGGACAAGGAGTACTACAGTGTTCGACAGCATCGCCATGCTCGCCTCCCTGTCAAATGGATGGCACTGGAGAGCCTGCAGACCTACAGATTCACCACCAAGTCTGATGTGGTGAGGCCCCACCTGCCCCAGAGTCCACATGGCCTCAGTGTCCTGGGAGAGCACTTGGCCTTGCCCTTTTAGGTCCAGATGATGATCTGAGCCCAGGGAATCCCTAAGCTGAGCAGCCCCCGCAGCCCATTTGCCCACCTCTTGAGCAGGTCTAAGATAGAGCCCTCTTGCCACGGCAAGAGGGGGCTCTGAACTCATTGGCTCCTTGCAGACAATACAGGGCCTACAGGCCCAACTCTGGGCAGGGTCTGGTGATGAGAGGAGACTGAGGAAAGATGCGTATGAGATACTGAGGAGCGGGCTCTGATTGATTTCCAGCTGGAGGACTCTAGGAGATAGAGGACCTGGGGGGCCCACCTATCCCCAAATTTGGGGTAAGAGTTGAGTCTCCTTTCTCCTTCCCACAGTGGTCATTTGGTGTGCTGCTGTGGGAGCTGCTGACACGGGGCGCCCCACCATACCCCCACATTGACCCTTTTGACCTCACTCACTTCCTGGCCCAGGGTCGACGCCTGCCCCAGCCTGAATATTGTCCTGATTCTCTGTGAGTATGTGGAGGTGGTAGTGGGAGGGAGCTGGGCCCCAGAGACAAGGAAGGGACAGGAGACAGTGTTCTTGCCTGGCTCTCGGACTGATCCTCTAGTTGACCTGGAAAGGGACCCTCTCTGGACCTCAGTTTCCTCATCTGTGGACTGGTTCCACCAGCATTTGGGGCTGAGTGCTGGGAGGAGATCATGGTTGCCATGGTAACAGTACTCCCCACTCAGAGTCTGGGTTGAGGCCAGTGATTTGATTTCTCAGCACTCCTCACCCCACCCCCGCTAAGGGGGGCCTGTTTTCCATCTTTTCCATTCATTTAACCTCAAAGAGAGGTTCCATTAGCTCCCACACTAGCCCCCACCCCCAACATCTCCCTACTGGATATAGTTTCAGATTCCCTGATCCCAAGGCATGGTGACAACTATGAAACAGTCACTGTGCCTGCCCAGTGGGTCTGTGCCGGGGTTCAGCTTCAGAAGCAGTACACGTGCCTTGTCTGTGCCCAGATCTTTGTGGTTAGAACAGGAAGAACCAGGTCACAGGTAAAGGTAGTTGATGATTCCAATCTCAGACTGTGCTCTAGAAGGGTACGAGTAACCCTTCTTCCCAGCCCCTGCCTGCCTTGGGTTTGATCTTTATTATTCATTTCACTAATGCCTCTGGTTTGAAGTAAGTGAAATCATCTTTACTACCCATCTGCCCCTGGGTCAGGTTCCCTGAAACAGACTCTCACCTGGAGCTATATATACAGGGAGTTTATTGATAGACTGGGGGAACCTGAGTCCTCTGAGTGGGGAGTACTATTACCATGGCAACTGTGATCTCCTCCCAGCCCCAAATGCTGGTGGAACCAGTCCACAGATGAGGAAACTGAGG